GAGAGGAAATTTTAAAAATTGCCACCCTACTCGAGGTCTGGTCATTGATTTTTTGATTGCTTAGTGAGTACAATCTCATTCTTGCTTTCAACGTGCTTTCTCTAATGCCTTTTTCTCCAAACCTTAACAAACATCCCACCGCAAATACTTTTTATATACCTACTACTAAGACCATCTTGAGCGCACAGCCCTTACACATATTTATAAATTATATGTACTATATTATGTATATTAAAAATGTAAAGGAATGCAATTAAGGATATGCACATTTTAGATTTTTGTCTTATTTATTACACAAGCTGTTATTTTCATGAAAAAAACATTAGTTTTAAGTGAGAGCAAGGAGATTGGGTATATATTTTTGTAAAGGTTTTAGATTTTAAAACAGTAATTTGATAGTCTGGGTTTATGTTCAGTTATTTGGATATGTGGTTTTTAACGGCTATCAAAACTGAAAAAGATACCTTTGTAAAGATACATAGGTACAAGGGAAGGAGAGTCTCACTACCTACCCTTACTTTTTAAATCATAGTATCCAATTTGTAGTCCTATCTACCAAATTAGTTTGAATCCATTTAGGAAATGCTTGCCTTGAGAGCCCCCCAGCACAGTAATGAAGCACATAGTATACGAAACCAAACTGTCTAGGTTCAAGTCTGGTTCCACTATCTGACCTTGGGAAATTACTAAACTGTTCTGTTTATCAGTTTCTTCATCTGCAAAAAGGGGGCAATAAAGCACCTATCTCTTAGAATTTCTCAAAGAATTAAATGAATCATCACGTAAAACACTCAGAACAGTTCCTGGCCCTTCATCATTTCATAGCTACTTTTTTTTTTTTTTTTTTTTTTTTTTTGAGACAGGGTCTTACTGTCACTCAGGCTGGAGGGCAGTGGTATGATCACAGCTCACTGCAGCCTCAACCTCCTAGGCTCAATATCCTCCCACCTCAGCCTCTGGAGTAAATGGGACCTCAGGCATGCACCACTATGCCCCCAGCATTTTTTTTTTTTTTTAGAGACAGGGTCTCACTATGTTGCCCAAGCTGGTCTCAGATTTCTGGGTGCAAAGCAATCCTCTCGTCTTGGCTTCCCAAAGTGCTGGGATTAAAGGCATGAGCCACTGTGGTCAGCCAATAGTTGCTTTTAAAACAACCTTTTAACTAAAATTATATAATTCTCTAAAACTACATTTAAATTATAATAGATCTGCCACAGCAGAAATAAATGAGTGAGGGTGATGCCATCAACCGTTTGACATCATGGAACTTGTAGTAACATACAACCATATCATATACAGATAGAGTATAGGCACCAGTCTCATCCTTATGTTAAGAATAATGCTTAGTCTATCATTTCTAGATAAAAAATAAACATCATAAATTCTAATATTTTCTTCCCATTCCCAATGGATCATCTTACACACTTTATTTGGAGACTACTGGTTTTAACCATCATAATGTCAATAGCATTACTTTGTCTAAATACTGAGGCTGGGCACAGTGGTTCATGCCTGTAATCCCAGCACTTTGGGAGGCTGAGGCAGGAGGATCACTTGAGACTAGGGATTCAACCACAGCACAGGCAATATAGTGAGACCCTGTCTCTACAAAAACCTTAAAACATTAGCTGAGCATGATGGTGTGCACCTGTAGTCCCAGATACTCAAGAGGTAAAGGCAGGAGGACGGCTTGAGACAGGGAGGTGAAGCTGCAGTGAGCCATGATCACTCACTGCACTCCAGCCTGGGTGACAGAGCAAGACCCTTTCTCAAAACAAAACCAAAAACAAACAAACAAACAAACAAATCCAGATAAATAAAAAGCAAAAAATAAAACTGTGAAAAGGAACTGTTTTTGTAGAAGCACAACTTCCTCCCTGTTCCCCACGCTGGGCCTGGGTGATGGTGCCTGTTCTGTGAACATGCTGAGATGTTCTAAGGGAATGCCCTCTTCCACCAACCAGTTCTTACTTAGGTGACCCTATTTTAGAACCTTTATTTCCACACTCCCCTACCCACCACTCTTCTTACTCCAGCAGAGTAGACCAGACACTGAGTACCTAACCCAGAAGTCTTCTTTTCATACTCCAATGGATGTCACTCCCTCACCCTACGTTCTTACTCCACTGCCCCATGCTTCCTTGTAGGAACTGCTTTCTCTTCTCTATGCAAATTACTGTTGTGTTATCAATCAGAGCGCTTTTACAGCCCCTAAAACAGGCTGGACACTTGGTACAGTCTAGCCAGAGGACCTGGGCCGGAGCTCTTTTGCCAGGTTTGATATGGATACTCTCTGGACTCTCCAACAATGTAAACCTCAAGTAACCTATAGCCATCAGACGGGGAGAAACTGAATGAGAATGAAATCAATGCAAAAGAAAAGAGAACCAAGAGACACCTGCCCTAATGAACTTTATAACCTAAAAATGGGAAGTTTCATTTATTTATTTCTATAATGGACCTTGCTCCAACTAACGACTAGAAGCAATTCAGGTTAAATAGCCTTTTATATGATAGACTAGAAAAGGAATCATAATTGTATAATAAAGATTCTGAAGGGAAGCACATTTCCTTTTTTTTTTTTAAACAAACAGCTTAAAACCTCAGAAGACAGGAAAAGCACGTTTCACAGCACCCTCGCAAACGGAGTTACTGCGGCCAGTCCGCTTGTGTGTTGAGGCCCACCTGTATTAGAAAATTAATAAACAACCATACAATAAAACAATGAAAAAAAGCTATTCAAAAACAATGCACAGACTATATTACAAGTAGGAAAGATACACTAAACTGTGGTTTAAATCACTCTCTATCAGCTCTACTAAAATAAGTACTAACCAGCTACAATATAAAAGGAAAAAAGGCAATTTGATTTAGCCAGTTAAAACTTGTCTTCAAAGAATTTAGCTGACGATGTAAACAGCTGGCTTGTAAGTGGGATACTTTACAGCAAATTTCCCCATCCAAAACTCCTCAAGTCACACCAGTATTTCTCCTCTTTACTTCCAATAATATCAGGAATAGCATTGTATCTATAAGCTAAGAGGAAATCCTCATTCTATGTATTATACAAATTATTGTGACAGGTAATTATCCCTCATTAAGAGTAAGCTGCCATAAGAGCCATCATCTGTGAAAATATTCTTACAAGACAAAAATATCTACAATTGAAAGTAACAGAAAACAGGCTGTCATTAAAGCACTAAGAGCAACCACTCTGTTTAATTTTCTGCTAATTTAATTTGTGGTTATTTTCCTTCTCTCCATTCAAAAAAAAAAAAAAAAAAAAAAAAAGCTTGGGCAATATAGCAAGATCCCATCTCTACAAATAATTTTTTTAAAAATTTGACAGACATGGTGGTGTGTGTCTGTGGTCCCAGCTACTCAGGAGGCTAAGGCAGGATTGCCTGAGCCCAGGAGGTGAAGGCTGCAGTGAGCTGTGATCATACCACCACACTTCAGCCTGCTGCATGGAATTAACCACTCTACTAGCTCTGCTGCATCTACTCTGACCACAGTTTTATTTCTGAGTATAATTCACAATGTTCACCAACCTTTAGTAGTTGGAGCTGTGACCCCGTAGATATGTTAATTTTATATATAATAACGAGGCACAGAGACCAGAAGTTCTATTTCTATTCATCAAATGAATCTCTCTAGGGGATAAAGACAAAGGGTCCTCTGATGGTCTCTTAGTAAGTTTATTCTCTCCTGCTTGTCTTAATTTTATTGTTAAGAATTCTAATTGAAATGCTGTTTTTTAAATTAGAATATAAGGCTAAATTCCAGAAAAAAGTAAATGAGAGGAGTAATGAACAGCCTGTTCTGGAGAGAGAGAAAGGTAGGGGAGTGATGACTCTTTGTTAGAGGTTATATGCATAGTGCACAGAGACAATTCCCAAAGCACTGGGAATCACACACATCACTTCAACTGCTTTCCTCAAATCCACCAGAAACCCATCTCATGCCCTATGTATGGACTAATATTTAGAGTCCACCAATCTGTTCAATATAACTTAACTGTGTTACTTATTTTATCAATATATGCATTTTAAAACACCTGCCATGGATTCACCTAATAGTACAGTTCAACAGTATAAAATAAACTACCACAACAATTATATAGCACAGGTTTGTGATACCCCCCAGTGACTCAGAACAGATAACATTCAGGTAAACTTCTCAAATTTTCCCAAAGTCTTAAAAATGTGTAATTACTAGAATTACCACCATAAGAACTGGGATGTACTGTTTTCCCACATTTCACACTTTTATATCTCTAGCACTGGTACAATGACAGAAGCAAATTGTCAAATACCCCATAGATACATGGAGGGATTTGCACAGCTAAATTTATACTTGTACATTTCTACCACTTAGTCAAGTAAATCATTCTCAAAGAATCAAGAGTTCACTTGGACTAGGCTATATATTAACACTAAATTTTGGCTATGATAAATTTCTGACAAAATAGGGACAATCAGACTGACAAGTTAGAAACTATTCTATCTCTAAGATTTTAAGATGTGAGACAACTGGCCGGGCGCAGTGGCTGATACCTGTAATCCCAGCACTTTGGGAGGCCAAGGCTGGTGGATCACGAGGTCAGGAGATGGAGACCATCCTGGCTAACACGGTGAAACCCCGTCTCTACTAAAAATAGAAAAAATTAGCCAGGCGTGGTGGCAGGTGCCTGTAGGCCCAGCTACTCAGGAGGCTGAGACAGAAGAATGGCCTGAACCCGGGAGGTGGAGCTTGCAGTGAGCCGAGATGGCGCCACTGCACTCCTGCCTGGGTGACAGAGCGAGACTCTGTCTCAAAAAAAACAGGCAACTTTGTTTCCCTTCCCTTGAAGATCATTTCAAAATTCCCAATCAAGTCTCTTGGCATTTAATTCTATTAATACAAAATAACAATTTTTCTTTAATAACTTATGAAATGCATTCATCGTTTTTAAAACTCCTTCCAAACATGACTCTAAAAGTGTACCAATGGATACTTACATTGACTAATCCAAAATAGTGCTCATTGACTGGAAACTGTTCTGGACCAATCTCTTTCTCTAATGCCGAAGCATTGGCGCCCTGTAAAATGAAAAACGAAAACCTTAGTATTTATAGTAGCCATGCACCACACAATGACGCTTCAGTCAATGACGGGCTGCAGCATGCTGGTCCTATCAGATTACAACGGAGCTGCCCTACACAGGTGTGTCTGTATCCTTCACACTGTATTTTTAACTGTACCTTTCTTACGTTTACATACGTTCAGATGCACGCTTACTCCCGTGTTACAACTGCCTAGAAAACACAGGAACATGCTGCATAGATTTGCAGCCTTCAAGCAATAGGCTCTACCATCTAGCTAGGCGTGCAGTAGGCTCTACCACCTCAGTTTGTGTAAAACACTCTATGATGTTCACATGCACAATGATGAAATGGCCTAATGAAGCATTTCTCACAGCATATCCTCATCGTTACACGATTGCATGTTCGTAATATTGTCGTAACTACACAGGTGTTAGAGACACCCTGTAAAAAAAACTATCTGTGATCCCTATTGCTACCTAACACAAAGAAATGAAAAAGGAGAAGAGAAAGAATGATATTGAAGAGTAAAGGTTTTTGACAATGTCTAAAAATTGGTTTATAGGAACTTTCTCACAGAACCAAAGCCTGGATCAAGGCATTACATTCACAACATGTTCTTTTTTTCTAAGTAATGAATGAAATTTCCTGCTGTATCATGTACTCTAACAGGAGTGTAATCTGATAGCACACATCTCTGAGAGCCAAACTTCTGTGAAACTAAATATAAATATGCACATGCTCAGTGGCCTAGCAATTCTGAAGTATAAACCTGAAATTCTTACACAGAACTGAAGTTGACAAGAATGTTCACTGCAGTATCATTTATGATTGCAGCTGACAGCAGTCTAGATGGTCCATCACTGGGGAAACAGATACGTAAAATGTGACAGCATACTACATAGTAGAGCCAAAATAAATGAACTAGGTTTACACAAAGAAACATGAGCATCTCAAAAACAGAATGTTAAATGAAAAAAAGAAAAATTAGATTAACATAAAACACCAACGTGTGTGTGTTTAATAGCACACGGAAAGTAGACTGCAGAATGTATATTAAATATACTATATACCTGAGTGGTGCTGGAAGAGGGATGGGCCATGGAATTGGGAATGGGGTAAAGGAGAAAAAAACAAAATCCAAGAAACAATGACCTCGCACAGACAATCATAGTGTGTCACGGTTTCAAGAGTGTGATCAACTCAATTCTGTGCACCTGTGGTCCGTGAGGACCATGTGAAAGGGAGGGGGAGAAATGTGGCCCTGAGCACCATGGTGGGTGATGACACATAAGCAGATACAACTAAATAGACTCTAAAATGTAGTTTGAAAGGGAAATAAAAGCAATTCTGTTAATATGACTCTGAATATGTTTACCTTGAAAATTCCCAGGAAAACATACTAGACAAGTATAACTGATAGGCCATTGCTCAAAAAATACCCAAATGTCACACTGAAGAGCTGCAAAGACAACACGCCTCTTCAGCTACACCGGGCATACAGTCAACAACGCACCAGTGCTCAGAATCCCACATCTGCTGCTTCCTTCCCGCATGAGACTCCTAAACCTGGGAAGCCCAGAACCCTTGCTAGACACTGAGTCTTCAATTTCCTGACAGCTCTAGGCTGAAAAGGAGGACTGACAAAGGCACATGGTGAGTTGGCAGTCAAGTTCCACCAAAACAAGACGTTTCTTCTAATATCTTCCAGCCAACCAGCACTTCACACTTCATATATACAGGATACTGTCTTTATTTTTTTGACTTGGGAAATCAATTTTCGGTTTTATATAAAACCTTGATACCATCACTAGTTAATAGATATCATTTATTTCTAAATTTGGATAGCAATATGTCGTAACAATACTAAATTCAATTATTACAGCATTTCACGATCCACTAAAAACTGATGGGAATATGGCAAGCCCTACTACCCCTCACCCTGCCAGCTCAAAAGTCCCTCATATATGTTGAAAATAACCAACAAACCTGGGTTTTTAACACTTGTCCTAAAAATTCAAACTGATACTGGCTTATTCAAATGAGTATAATCCTTTCCCCCCACCAAAACAGAAGAAAGGTGCCATCAAGCAAAATACAACCTCAAATACTTACCTATCTAGAACAATAAAATACCAGTGCATACATCTTAGGAAGGCATTTCTGGCCTTTAAGATGTACTAAGAACAAGCTAACGGGTGAAGATGATCCCTCCACTGTTAGCCGAATCACACGCCACTCGCCTTGTATTCTAACCACCCCACATGTCCACCTGTCACCATATGTACCACGTACTTTCATGCCTGCTTAGTAAGCTCTTCTCCCACCCCCTTGTCCTCACAGTAGTTTCAACTTTGGGTCAGGTATTGTCTCTCTGTGCCTCAGTTTCCCAACTGTTAAAGAAAAATGTTAGCAACTACTTTATAGGGTGACTATAAATTAACAGAATTTTAACTTTTCTAAGGCAGCTGGTGGCGCCTGGCACACAAGCAGGTGTCCAATAAATGTTGGTCCTCTTCTTACCCTTCCCTTCAAACAAAAAGAAAACAGTCACAGTAATACATCTTTTCTGCTCCGTGCAAAAGCTAAGAAATGACAAGAGGAAAATCAGAAGACAAAACAAGACAGCTATAAAACAAAAAAATAGATACCCTCCTTAGTTTAGCAGACAGGAGCCAATTCCCTCAAGCGGCCCCCAGAGGTATCATCACTGTACTCCCCCACACAGCCTAACAACAAAGCAGAACCATAATCCAATTCAGAAATCTGAGAACAGTAGGCCAAGAGTGGTAAGGTAGAAAGAGCTGTAGATCATCATTTAACCTTTCTGGATTTAAGAATCTTCATTTGCAAAATAAAAGGGTCAGAATCCTCAGTGATTTTCAAAACTCCCAGTTACAAATTTTCTGTTGGGTTTTCAAGTAAGCCTTTACATGAACTAAGATTTTCATGGCTAAAACTATTCAGAAAATTAAAAGATTCTGTGATTTCTAAAATTCCTTCTCAGTCAACATTCCATCGTTTCCGATGACTTTCATCAATGCTTCTGAAGACATTACTGTTTTAACACAAAACTCTAGGGAACGACAATCAATATACGCCAAGCCAAGCCCACAATTCAACAGCTTGAAGAATGATGGTTAGGACAGACTGACGGTAGCAGATTGAAATGAAAAGTACAAAGAAGGAACAGTACTCACCTTATTACAGTTCTAAACTAAGGCACAGCACCATAAACTATGCCTTCCTGTGGTAATGACTGTGCAGCAGATTCTGCAGATGCAGGAGGAGCATGCTTATTGCATGCATTCAAGGTTTTCCTCAACAGAAATGATGAGGGTACACTCCTCTCTCTAGCCTAATGCTAACTAAAAAGGCAAAAGATTATACTAAGCAATTGGTTTCTGCTGAGTTGTTTTTAAATTTAACAGCGTTTTCAACACCAAAGTTAGACATAACTGGTGAAAACCAACTGCAAAGTCAAAATTTTGCTGTTCGATTGCAACCATCTTTAAGACATTCCTGAAGGATTTTGTTGAAGGCTGACAAATTCTATCATATCACATAATAGTCACACAATCACCCAAAAATTTAAAGTGAGCCTAGAAAAAGTAAACATTCAATAATAATAGCTCCATTACCACATTTAAGAAGTATGACCCTATCAAAGCTAACAATAGCTTTTATGAAACCAGTGGCTCTTTACTGGGATAAAGGGAAGGCATGATGGTGAGTTAAGAAGTTCTGCTCCAGGCCAGGCGTGGTGGACCTCCTGAGATCAGGAGTTTGAGACCAGCCTGGGCAACATGGCGAAACTCCGTCTCTACTAAAAATACAAAACATTAGTCAGGTGTGGTGGTGGGCACCTGTAATTCCAGCTACTCGGGAGGCTGAGGCTGCAGTGAGTCAAGATTGCGCCACTGCACTCCAGCCTAGGCAACAAAAGCAAAACTCCATCAAAAAAAAAAAAAAAAAAAGTAGTACTTCTGCTCTGGAGTCTTCATAGGTATCAGAATTAATTTATTTTTGTCTGAGCACATGATACACACAAATGGAAGAAGACATTTTTTTCTGACTTCTGTGCCCATTTTTGTAACTTAGGCAAAAGATGAGACTTAGTACCCTTACTACAGAATTCATCATGAATAAGTAATTAGATACTCAGGCCCTTCTGATGAAAACAATCAAAAGATAGGTGAAATTGAAAAATAACTATTAACTGAGCTAGTGATAAAAATAATCTGCAGGAATCAAAAAACAAAGTGATGGGGTAATTACGAGAGATAAGCAAACATCAAAGACTTCCCACTGCCGGTATTTTCCGACCCTAGCGACCTTTAAATTCTCTTCCAGCAGCTGAATGGAATGGTATGCAGGAAACAGGTGCTAAAACTTAGGGCCCACTCCCTGTTGTAGGGAGGACAACAGGCGATATGAGCATGAAGCCGAGATCTCCAAAGAGTTTCTCTTCAATGTAAAAGGGAACCAGTAATAATCCCACACTACAAGAAACAGCAAGAAAACTTGCTTGACTTGTCCTTGGCACTTAGGAGTAGAGACAGGAAGAAAGAAGAAGTATCTTCCAAAACTCATAACTATAACTAGGCCCTTCTAAAAGTCTGTGACCCAAATTTCCACAAACTGTGATCAAAAAAAAAAAAAAAAAAAACAAAAAACACCTCAGTAGAGAATTCAAAGAAATCCTAAATTGAGAGTGCCCTCCTTCCACCTCTTCTACTCCACAAAAGGCAGAATCACAAATTCACTCTGGAATGAGATGAATTCAATCCACCCACAAAGAATTCCTACAAGTACAATGCCAAGAGATTTGAATTCATAAATCAAAAATTACAAAAACACACAGGAAAAGAAAGCCCCATGAATAAGAGCCCCATGAAGAAATGCAGACAGCAGAATGAAACTCAAAAAGTTACTAACAGGCACAGGATGTAAAACAAATGTCTAATATGTGTCAACAAATGACAATGAATTGATTG